CATCAGAGTAGCAAAGGTTGTGTCTGTTCCAGCAGCAAAAAAATCAAGAACACACTGAGCCAGGTTCTCTTCATTGTAGGTAGAGTTGGGGTCATTCCTGCTCTAATGTTTAAAATGGAAAATGAAAATCACAATTCTATGTAGCTTTCTTGTAGTTATTACTCCTTCTATGTTCCAAGGGATAAGAATAAGTTATGTCCTGGTGGTTTTGTACAACAATCAATGCATTAGAGTAATAATTAGAGTGGAATATTCACAGTGAGGAAGATACTGTCTTAAAGTAGACGAGATCAAAGAGATTCAGTGGTTCAGCTTTAGAGATAAGCATCATGCACGGTGATGATGCTTGTTCTTCAGCCAGCTTGTGTTAGAACCTGATGATGTTTACCAGTGGTCTACAGCTTCTAATTTGGGATACTAATCCTGGACCTCATTTGGAGGTACCCCAGTGATCATAATAGCAGTAAATTGCTATTTAACTTGTATGGGTTTTCTCCTCCTGTGTACCACCTGGGAGATGGACTGCTCATCTCTCATGAACCATCTGGCAGCTGGTTGAATAAGTCTCCCTTGCCATCTGCAAGATAAAAAACAACCAAGGAATTGGCCTGAATGTCATCCCAGCTGAAATATGGAAGCTACCTGAATCACAGGGAGTAGAATGACTTACAAGAATGTTCAAAAACATTGTAGAAGAATATGAACTTGCCACATCAATACAGCAATCTCAATTTAGAAAGGCAAAAGCAATGTGTGAGGCTGCTCAAGCTATAAGCTGACCTGACTACTATGCCACACCATGACAATTTCTGAACGCGTACTAGATTCCTCTGAGAGATCACCAACCTTTCACCAAACCACTTCAAGTGCATGAAGAACTGTGGAACAACCAACACAATACATGTGACCTGCCAATTGATGGAGAAGCAGCATGAACAATATTACATTATATGCCACTCGACCTAGAAAAAGTGTTTGATCAAGGACCAGATGACCTCATCTGGCTGTCTCTTGAATTATATAATATATCTGCTGGATTCAACTACTGTATCCCAATGCTATCAGCTCAGTAAGAAGTGCTACTAGATGTTCAAGCATCTTTCCCATAGACAAAGGGACCATCTCTCAACATTGCCCTTTCTTCTCTGTTTGGTCACCAACCAGAAACCTATAATCACCACACCCATGGATGCTATTATATGCTGACGATACCATGATAGACTGTGAAGCAGCCTCGAGTAACTGAGACAAAAGTGAGGAATGTGACTAAATGCTTTAGGAATAAGGCTCAATATTAAGAAGACTGTATATCTTGAATGTGGTGACCAGACCAATGGGACACTCAAGGCTGATGGTATCAAATTAAACAAAGTGGCCCAGTTCAAATACCTGAGGTCATACCTGACTTCTGATTGTGATGCACTACTGGACTACCATGCTTTGTCACTGTAGAGACACTGCAGACCATGTGAAATGATGATCCCAGGGCAAAGTAACTTCAAATTGACCAAAGTTGCTTCAGAAAAATAATCTTGGGACTTTTTCTGAAAATACTGGAGAGGAGAACCTTTTTTCCTTATATCGAAATATTTTGCATTTTTACTTATGGTCAAGGCTATGAAAGTATCTGTCCTTCTTCAGTCATATCATGGAGTGAGTCAAGTATGAATTAATCAAAAGTCCCTAACCTGTTAATTCTTTTCTTTCTTAATGGAACTTCTCCAGAAAAGGGGAAAGGAGTGGTAGGCAAACATGAGAGGGTGACAAATGGAAGCCACTGATTTCTGCCTCCCCCCCTGCAAATAACCTTCCATGTCTAATGAGAGCAGAGGTACATATAGGTCTTATTCAGAAGCAACCTGAATTTGGCATGGGGTAAATTCAGAATGGGAGCCGAATGAAAAAGAAAAAGAAATCCAAGATAAAGGGACACAGTATCAGTAGCTCCTCAGGTTTACTTATAGCAAGGAATGTAATAATTCCTTGCCTGTGTATTGAACTACAAGAAACCCATACCTTCTCCATCTGAAGAAGATAGTGATCAATGAAATCTTGTGGCTCATGCCGAGA